GATCACTCAAATGATCACAACTTCGGCTCAGTCGTTTTCGAATACTCGCTGCCGAGTCGTCTCGTTGGTCTCGTTGTAACGGTCGTCGAGATTGGGTTTGTGCGAAATGCACGTGCCTTGGAGAATGATGAGATTGTTGATGATACTCCAGTGGAATTGGTGACGGAGTATGCATATTCTCACGCGATAAATACCTGAAGTTACAGGAAGTGAGAGATGGTACAAATTCTTCTAAAAATGGAAAATCTAGGAAATAGAAAGGAGGTTCCAGGAAGGAAAGAGAAGCAAATTTTCCGAAGTAGATGAATTTTTGGTATATTAAAAATTGGGAAAAAAGGTACAGGTTTGCCTAATGATGCTCAAAAATTATTTTTAAAAATTAATCTGAAATCTTGTGATCTGTTGTAACTAATACAGCTAAAAACTAAATCCTAAGGGAAAATCACAAAATATAAGTCCCAGTACACCGAATTTGATTTGAATCATACCGTATTTCCTCTACTAGAAGAACCCGAAATGTTGAGCACAATTATCTCGATATCTGTGAAAGGTAACAAATTTTTGTCAATTGATAAAATATTGGTGATATTAAGATAAATAATTTATCAGTTGACGAATTTTTGATATCATTTACAACAATCGAGATATTTGGGCCTAAAGTTGACAATTTAAGTGGGTTTCTATTTTTAGTGAATACGGCATTTCAGATAATATGGATTTCACATTTTTTAAACTAAAAAAAATCATAAATTGGTAAATTTGAAAAAAAAACTCCAGCACGTTTTTTGTCTAGACTTCACGCTAGTTCTAAAAAATAGAAAGTGAGGTATAAGCAATTTGTTGAAGTGCTGGTAATACTTTCTTGCTGCTAATATGTTGACAAAGTTCTTGAAAAAATCCTCCTCGAACAGACCAGGGAACAAAACGATTGACAATTTTCATTTTCAAAAAATTGGTAATTGAACCTGTTACCTAGAGGAAGTGAAAAAAATGTTGGTTCGATTTGAATTCTCTATTCAATGCAAAAAAAATAACACAACAATACCTAGTAACTGGTTAGACCAAAGGTAAAAAGGCACACTTTTGAATGGCAAAGAGAAAAATAGAGAAAGAGGTATATTCCAACATCAAGATAAAAGGAAAAGTCTATTCCGGGTCAGTCGAGTGTGAAAATGGCGACTAATTTAAGTTAGTTGAACCCCTTACAGCACTTTCACTAACTTGGAATCAAAGAAAAATCAAGGAAATCTAAATAAAAAAGTTCTAACCCACCTCTCTAAAAGGCTCATGTCTCCCGTGTCACACCGATGTAGTTTTCTTGCGTGCAGTCCACCGCCGGTCCTCAGGTGAACAGCAGCGGATGAGGATGGTTGTTGGGTAGTGGCCGAGAGGCGGCCGCTCATCATGTCGAGATCCTTGAACGACACTCGTTTCTCGGCTTTTGATAGTTGCTCAGCGGCCAGCGCCTGCGTGTTCACGTACAGCGGTATCGATGACGTGGCACTTCCACCAGAGTAGGTGTTGGGAACTCTGTGGCTTTGAGCGCATGTCGTCGTGCTGCTTCGTTTCTTATTATTATTGGTTAGCAACAAATGGTGCAGAGCATTGGGATGAACCCCCTGACGATGCATGGAGCCCGTCGAGGAGTGCGACGACGCCGACACTCGTCGCTCGATCGGGCTCCGTGGCTTGAGATTGGACGACGTGGCGGTGTGGTGTGAAGTAGCAATGAACGAAATGAACGAAAATTAAGAAGATTAGAGGGGAATGGCTTTAGGTAAGACCGACGGTGTGTCCGTGGCTATGTCCTACAACACACACACACTTTTTGCCCGATAACTTTTGGTTCTTCTTTCTGTTTTTTCTCCTCTCTTCGTTTAGCCGCCTGCCTGCCAACCGTCGTCCTCTTCTTCTATTGCTTATCGTTTTGCGAATGGCGTTAATAACCCGTCCTATCACAATTCGACCAGCTTCGTCTTTTCGCCTCGTGTCCTTTTTCCGACGTTCGGCGTTGCGCAATTGAACAGAAGAACAAAGCGTTCTGCGATATTTGATGGATATATATATATATATCGGATTCAGATTCAGAATTTGTAGGTTTCGTTCTATAAGTATTTCTGTAAAAAAAGAATCTTCGGTTGCGCAAGAGAAGAGAGATGTTAGAATAAAAAAACACATAAGTACTGAATAGTCAAAAAGGGATAAGAGTGGGGTCATAAAATTGAATGGTAGACGTTGAAAATTGTTTACCGCCGACAGGTTTGAACTTGCTTTCTGATTTTATGCATTATAGTCTAATCTTTCTGTTTTGGAATGTTTCCGGTCAGTATTTGAGGAAGAGAGAGGATGAGTCAAAGGATTCATAACTAAACAGAAAGAAATAAAATTCAGAAATTCAGAAATTCAGAAATTCAGAAATTCAGAAATTCAGAAATTCAGAAATTCAGAAATTCAGAAATTCAGAAATTCAGAAATTCAGAAATTCAGAAATTCAGAAATTCAGAAATTTAGAAATTCAGAAATTCAGAAATTCAGAAATTCAGAAATTCAGAAATTCAGAAATTCAGAAATTCAGAAATTCAGAAATTCAGAAATTCAGAAATTCAGAAATTCAGAAATTCAGAAATTCAGAAATTCAGAAATTCAGAAATTCAGAAATTCAGAAATTCAGAAATTCAGAAATTCAGAAATTCAGAAATTCAGAAATTTTAAAAATTATTTATCTGAAAATAAAACTAATCAAAAATTCAAACTGGAATTTTTTTCAAAATAATTTCATCTAATATAAATTTAACTTCAATAGAAGTATTCAGAAAATTGCCTAAAGAAGGGCTCCCACACTGTTGAATTTGAGCTCAATTATCTCGGCTACTATTAGGTTGGCGGGAAAGTCTTTGTCACTCTGTTTGTTTAATCACTGTTCTCGTATATGGAGGCTGTGTATGATATCGACTCTAGTGAATAACAAGGTGATAAGAACCTTCCATATAAACAAGTCCCCATTTCCTTCCCTGCTCCTCATCTGTAATTGAAACGATATGTTTGTTCCCACTGCTATTCACATCAGACATGTTTTGATTTACCTCTTCCTATCTCACACCACGATGAAGGATTCGGAAACTTTCTTGAAGAATGTGTACAACACACATGCCCCTCACTACAATACTATTCGCAATTGGTTCCATCGTTTCAAAAAGATGACTTCTCGCTCGATGAAAAGGATCGCTCTGGGAGACCCCGTGAGTTGGATTTGGACAAGCTGAAGCACGCATTGCAATCGGATCCATTTCAATCTAGCCGTGAACTAGCTGTCACATTCGGAGTTCACCATAGCACAGTCCTTGAAGGTTTGAAGTCTCTTGGAATGAGAAAACTTTTTGGTCGATTCATACCTCATCACCTGACTCAAGCCAACCTTGACCGCCGAGTCGACGATTCGATTACTCTTCTCACTCTCCACGCGGGCGATCGATGGCTGGACCGGCTAATAACCGGAGATGAGAAGTGGGTCTTCTACGATAATCACCACAGGAAATCCCAGTGGGTTGGAGAAGGAGAGAGCCCACAGGATGTCCCCAAACCCGACCTTCATCCGAAAAAAGTTATGCTCTCTGTGTGGTGGGGAGTGGACGGCCCCATCTACTGGGAACTTCTGCCCGAGGGCAAAACAATAACTGGAGACCTCTACACTACTCAACTACGAAACCTCAAGAAAGCAGTCGACCGTTCGGCCCTGAAAGACAAGAAAGTGACTATCAACATGATAACGCTCGCCCACATGTTTCGAAACAAGTGAAGCAGGAGCTGATGGGATATGGATGGAATGTTCTCCCTCACCCCCCGTATTCTCCTGATCTTGCTCCTTCCGACTATTGGTTATTTGGCGATATGACACGTGCCTTCGAAGGAAGAAGCTTCAATTCCCGTGGAGCGGTCGAAGCGGCACTCAAACAATACTTTGCCTCACGCCCGGCTGGATTCTACCGCAATGGAATCCATAAATTGAGGGAACGTTGGAGACATGTTGTTGATAATGATGGACAATATAATTAATTATTCGGTTATTTTTTCTTTGAGAAATAAACTATTGAAAAAGTGACAAAGACTTTCCCGCCAACCTAATATTAAAAATATCAAAAAGATGTCAATTGATAAAATGAATACCACATTACGATAAGCAATTTATCAGTTGTCAACTTTTTACTGTATTTGACAGGGATCGAGGTAATTGAGCTTAACGTTGACAATTTGAGTGGGGCTCATATTAGAAGAAATACGATTAATAAGTAAACATACCGTATTTCTTCTGATAGAAGCCCACATATACCATCAACTTTGACCTCAATAATTTCGATTCCTGTGAAAGATACCAAAAAATTATCAACTGATAAAATATTTATCATAAAGTGGCCAATGTTTTATCAGTTAGAAAATTAGAGATGTCTTTTGCAAGAATCAAAATGATTGAGCTTAAAGTTGATGGTTTGGGTGGGTTTCTATTAGAGGAAATAAGGTAATATTCTCATATGAAGTTCAAAGAAATGTGCTGAAAAAAAGAAACTACAAACAGAGCTATTTCGCAAAAAATAAAATATCATTTGACTGGATAAAATACGACAGAAAACGGCAAACTTAGCTACTCCTAAAATGGCGAAAAGAATTTTGGCCAGCCAGCAAAAGCTGCGTTTCTTTTTTCTGTCAGCTTCAGAATCCTCGCCGATTGTTAGAAACCATTTAGTCTGTTCAAAGGCTAGGATTATCATTTTTTTATGGTCAATCGGAGAAGAGGGGGGATTTTGGAAATGAGTAGATCTCGATTCAATGGACGACAAAAAAAGTCTGGTCTCAGTCTTGACCGAATAGAAGCATAGCACCCAAAAAAAAAGTGCGAGACTTTTACAAGAGTGGAACAAAATCTTGGGAGGAGGTCGGAGTCAAGGGTTGTGAGAGAGAGACATACAACACCTTGAGAGTGAGAGAGAGACTCATGTATGCTTAACAAGCACCTGTGGGGGGGGGGGGGGGGGGAGAACAACACATTTAGGTAGACAAAAATGGAGAAAAATTAAGGGAACCGGGAGCTTTCCTTCGTGGGATAATCCGTGAGCCATGAGAGATTCGGAGCAATTCAAAAAAACATAGGTAAGACAAAGGTGGAATGAAAGGGTGGCGCGAGCGAAAGTTTGTACTTGGGATTAAGACCGTGCCGACTAAACCGTAATTTTTCTATTAAACAGTTACATTTTTCGATGACGATGATGATGATGATCAATATTTTCACTTCCTTACCATTGCTTGCTCATCAAATTTTTTGCTCCGTATTGTTTGCGGATTCCGCCTATTCCGTCAAAGAGGAAACTCGTTAGAAGACTAATCAACGAGTGTAAAAAAAAGATCAAAGTATCAGATAAAAATAAATAAAACAGGAAAATATAATCATAAAAACTTTGAACGTTTCGTTTAAGGTCACAGGCTCCTAAGTGTGGAAAAATGACGCGTCATGTTGTAGCCACTTCACAGAGCATTGTTTACAGAACGACACAAACTAACAAAAGGTCATTGCTTCTAGAAAAACTACAAGAAACTAACCGAAAAACTCTACGGGTACACCGCGGACAGTTGAGAACTTTGTAAGACGGCTAGGAATTCTGGAGATACTGAAGAATCGCTCCTTGGTTGGTATTCGCTCCTTAGGATGACGAGTATAGGATCTAGCAATCGTGTGTGGTCCGGAAATAGGGGACCCGAAATGATCTGGGAGAAGTCCTGAAAATGATAGATTTTCAGTATTTTTTACTTTTTCTTTCTTTTTTTCAATGTAGACTCATATACATTTAATATTGTGTTTGCTGTATATGTTTCCACACAAAGAAACGTCGGAAAATGCAGGGAGAGTGGTTATTTATTGCATGAAATTGTGGGGTGTTAACTTACCCCAGTGTTTAGCAAATGCCGACCGATCACCATCCATACGAACTGTCCGGTTTCGTTGAAGCAGGCGTTTCTGAAACGGCTAATTTATTGGTTTTGGAATAGCCAAAATTGATTGTAGACTGCAAGATCTAGAAATTTCTTTGCAAAGCACTTCTAGATGAGCTCCTTAACTTTGAGCTAATTTATCTCGGTACCTGTCAAAGACATTGAAAAGTTGTCAACTGAAAAGTTGTTCATCATTTTATCACAAATGTTTGTTTGGTTGACAAAAATAAAATGTCTTTAACAGGAACCGAGAAAAATGAGCTCAAAGTGCATTTATCATACTTGCGACCGGGCCTTTGCCGGGCCTTTGCGGGATCTGCCAAAGTTTTTTTTAGAATCGATATTTCAAGACCAACTAAATCAGATATTATAGAACTCAACGAGTGCTACAAAATGGCATTACTTGGAAAACTGTGTTTCGTTTATGAACAAAGTTACAGGCAAAAAACTCAGCTACGTTATGACTTGTAACTTTGTTCATAGACAAGACACAATTCTCCAAATAGTATCATTTTGTAGTACTCGCCAAATTCTATTATATTTGAATTAATTGATTAAAAAATATTGATTCAAAAAGAAACTATGGCATGGCCTGCGAAGGGCCCGTCAAAGGTGCGGTCGCAAGTATGGAGAAAAGGCTTTTACTAGAGAAAAGAGGTGAATGGGCAAAATGGGCACACATTTTGAAGAAAATCGAATTCTCAAATTGTGGGAAGAAATGAGGTTACACTGGATTTGTTGCGTAATCTTGAAATTGTAGGATCAGAAGGAATTGGGTCATTTGTAAAAAAGTAAGGCAGTTGGAAAGTTTGTTTTAAGTTTCTATTTTGAGAATTTGGTTTTTTTTCAATTCTAGGCTGTGTAGCTAAATTCCAGCTGAAAATTTTCGATTTTTGAAGAATAGTAATAATGAAATTAAAAAATTGTAAGACAGTTTTTCATTGAATTGAACTTTTTAAAATTAATTTTCATCAATGACTAACAGAAGGAAACAAAGTTTTTCTCAAAAAAAAAGTACGAATTTATACAGTTTTTTCAGGCGGATGTGCTTATCACTGGCAAAGGGAAATTTATGTTCCAATTACCCTGGCAGCATCTTTGACACTCATTTTTACACTTTTCAATCAAAATTTAGACTAAAAAAACTTCAAAAGAAGAACGTTCAAAAGTTCAGTGAAAGATCAACTTACAGTAACAAATGGGTATTCTTGTTTGTAACAACTCATGGTGCTCTGTCTGGGATCGAAAACACAGTAGCCAGCATGCCAAGGAAGTTTGACTTCTTTGTTCATCATTTTTGTTGGATTACCCTCTGAAAAATTTTAAAATTGAAAATTTCAAGGTTTCCTCTAGAATGAACAATTTTTGAAAAACGTTTGTTCAATAAGATATATCGGATAAAAAGTGTGGATGACTATTTTCATCTCGAGGATCGTTTCAAGTGGCAATTAGAAAATCTCGGGGATAAGAAAAAGAAAATGATGGGGATACAATGAGTCAAGGTTGGCAAAAAGATACAATTTTCAAGCAATTATTGGCCTTTCGCATTTTTTCTTTGGTTTTTATAAAAAGTGAATTATTGTACAGTTGAGAGCGGGCTACTCGACAAGACACGCGAGACAGATATATATCGAATTGACTCTTTCTTGTGAGATATATATTATATTATTAATGCGAAAGGTGCTAAATCAAACAGCCGGAGAGCGGAAGAAAGGGATTGTCGACAGGGGAGAAAAAGAAGGAATATGCAAAAGTATTGTTTGAGCTAAATTTGAGAAGGGATTGGAAACGTATCCGACATGGAGATCATTTAAATCTAATTTCAAATTTGGAAAAGTTTTTTTCCAGGAAATAGATTCGCAAGGACCAAATTATACCAAATAACAAATGACCTCAAAAAAAAACTCTCCGGAAACCCTGTAATAGAAGGGCCCTTTAAAATTTTTCAGACTGCCCAAATTTGTTTGAAGTTGTAGTTTTAGAATTTATTGTGTTGGGAGCTTTAAAATGAGCCTAAACACGGCTAAATTTGATTGATTTCAAACATTTCAAGGGTCAATGCGCCTTTAAAATCGAAAAAATCAAAATGGGCGGAGCCTAGCCTTGTCTTAGCTCATTTTAAAGCTTTCAACAACACAAATCTATTGCTCTAATTTTCACCACAATTGCTCCAAATCTGAGCAAGTTGAGGTTTGAAAAAGCTGCAGTGCAGAGAAGCGAGACACACCGCGTCTCTAACGAGCGGAGCCCAGTCGTGTTCATACTCATTTTAAAGTTCTTGGCGTGAAAAATGTTAAAATGTAGTTTTTATCAAACTTTAACTAAAATTAACAAAGTTATGGAGCATTGTCGAATTTTAAGTCAGTTCCAGACCCATTTTCAGTGGAATTTCATCCAATTTTTTGCAATTTCTCTAACTGACATTACGGTGAGTCAAATTCTTGTTTTTTTAAAGCTTCTTTGAAGCAGCAACAAAAAAACAAAAGTTTCAATAAATTCCAAAAAAAAGCCAGATTATCCCAGTCAAGATTGAATGCCACCGTATGCTTGAATTTTTGAGCTCAATTATCCTCGTTCCTAAAAGAGATATAAAAAATCTGTCAAGTGGTAAAATGGTAAGCATATTATCACTAACACTTTATCAGTTTGCAAATTTTTTATATCTCCTAGGAATCAAGGGAAAATTGAGTTTGAATCAGAAGTACAACGTGGCGAGCATTTACGATATACGACAACTTGATATCCAAACTTTCTCTGAAAATCTAAGAACTAAAAAATCTCAACCACTAGAGAATATATAAAACGCGAAAAAGTGGAAGTCGTCGTTTTTGCGATTTGTTTATTCATACGGATTTAGAACTGAGAAACGAATATGTTTGTATTAAGGAGAATGCTTATGCATAGGAAATGCCGGGAGGGCTGCACAGACGAAGGTTTCAATTTCTTCCTCCCGCAACTTGTCAAAAATTTTATTGGTTTTTCTTAAAGTAGGAGGTGGTGGTGTCAAAAGGCAAAAGTAAACATGCGAAATGAAGCTTGAGGAGGAATCTTTCTGTCTCTTTTTCCTCGTTTTCCGTCAGATTTCACCTCATTTCGAGGACTTCTTCTGTATTTTTTTTTTAGTTTTCGCCCATCCTAATTTCTCTCTTCACTTCGTAAAATTTTAGGATGAGGTCATAAACAATAAGAGGCCGCCGCGCTGAGGCTGCAGCGTTTTATGTGTTAGATGACTCAAAACTAGAGCTACCAGGTAATACGAATATGAATCTGGAGAAGAGAGAAAGTTGAAAATGAATCATACTGAAAAAACTTTAGTGGTGAAACGAAACGGTGGAGAGTGGAAAATTCAGAACTTTATTCTTTTTCACAAACACGTTTTGTTTTGCTACAAATTAACAAATTAGGAAAAAGTGTCAAGAGGATAAATGCCATAGATCTCACAGGAAGATAAGCTGAAAAATAAGTAGAAATTTAAATAAAAATGGGCAAAAAATTATTTTCTCTAGAAACAATACCTTCAGAATGCATATAGAAGTAAATGAGAGGAAAATGAACATCGGCATGAAATGAAAGTGTCACAGTAATGTAGCTATATACCAATAGACTTCCCCGGCTGGCTACTACTGCCGTCCACACAATAACGATCAGTATAGTGAAAAAAGAGGTCTAATGAATGTTTCTATAGCTAGTAGCTACTTAGTTTTTATGACGGATCGGATCGTAGAGATGGATTGAAGAATCGATCCTAAAATTAAGTATTTTTTTCGGTCATCTGATAATATTTTTAAACAAACTACTAAGATTTTTCAAAATAACTTTCGACTTACATACTTGGAATTTTAAAATACTTGAACTTGTAGAAAAATGATTAAATTGAGCCAATTTTCACTAAATTGTAGTTTGCCGGATGGCCAAAATTTTAAGAACGGTATGAAAATGAAAATCATAGTTGCAAGCGAGCCGGCTGATAACTTTTTCGTAGAACGAGATATTCAGACAGTTTTGATACCAAAAGATAGATGTCGACAAGACCCATCACGCTTATATCATTCGAGCCAGATACATGTCCTATAACATGTTGAAAAATGTGTTTGAAGGACAATTTCTGATCAACTCGACAAAAAGCAGATTTTTTGTCATTCAGACACATTTTTCGACATGTTGTTGGACCGGAATTTGGCTTAAATCGTACATGCGCTATAGGCCTTGTTGAGATCTATCATTTGGTACCAAAACCGTGTGAATATCTTGTTTTAGAGACATGTTTATCAGCCGGCCCGCTACCTGCCACTATGGTTGTTGTATTTCTAAGAAAAACTTTCCAATATTTTAAGTACTAACTACAGTAATTTTATTGAAACTGTCACGAAAATAGCATAACAAAATGTGTGTGCAGCTTCAATAGAGGAAAAAGAAAATCAGGTCAAAATGGTCTTTGGTAAATTTAGAAAACACATTTTTAGAACAATTTCTGGAATTCTAATTTCACAAAATTGGGAACTCCACCCGTTTGGTTCTACATAAGAACCACATAGATCATACAATGAAAAGAGCAGCTACCTCTGAACCACAATAAAACTCTAATGGGTCTCTTTTCTGAAGTCGCAACACGATGGGTACACTTACCACAAACGATAAGCCAACCATGACAAATGGGCTGCTGCAGGTCGTCTTTATCGGTTTTTCTGGTCCATCTTTTTGCTGCAACTGCCACTTCACCATCCGATTCACTTCGCATTTCGCCTTCTTTTTCTTCTTTTTCCTCTTCCTCCGGTTTCTCGTCAATGACAATCATTCTGGAAAATGGTTTTTTGACTGCTTCCGAAGTTAGAAATTGAGTGAAAATGGAAGGAAAGAACTCCGAATGAGGACTGGTGAGGCGAGAAATATGTGAGCGAGAAATGGGGAACTGAAATTGGCAGCAAGAATGACAAAAAAACATTCAAAAAAAGGAATAAATGGAGTTAATTCTCTATTTTTTAGTTTTTTCGAAAATGGTCCTCGTTTCTACTTTTATTGAATCTTATGATTTCCAACGGGTCTAAATGTTTTGGGCCCGTGAAATTAATCAGAATTTACAAACAAAAGCAGAACGACCAATAAGTATCAGATGTTGAATTTGAATTTCAGATCGAAATTTGGTATTAGGCTGGAAGGAAAGTAACTGTTAATTTTTGAATTTGTGAATAACACAAAAACAAGAATTATCCAAAATTGACAGTATGTACTGTCGTGGTCCACGATATGTTGACAACATTCAAGTAACTTGTGAATACCATCCCTCCAAAAGCCAGCTGGCCGCGACTCAAAGTATTTTTTCTGGCCAGCTGGTTTTTGGAGGAATGGTATCCACTGCTAAAAACGCAAAAAAAAAATGAAATAAAAAAAGCTAAAAAGGTTATGCCAAAAAACGTGGTTCCAACAATTATAAAGTGTTCTCGTTACTAGTGGGGTACTACAGAAAACATTAGTTAGAGGGAATCCAATTTCGAAGGAGACAAACAATGTTTAGAAATTGTATTGGAAACTGAACTTTTAACAGAAAGAGCCTACAAAACTGTTCATGAATCTCAAACGGGTATAAGTGGGATTAGTGAAGACTGAATTCAAAACAAAAAACAAGATCTCATTGCACTCGTCATAACGAAACAAGGATGAAATGAATACGGCAAGAAAAAAACACAACAGAAATGGAATAAGAAGTATCTAGCGCCTTTATTCGTAATTGAGTTACCGCCCCAACCATGACGGGCGGGCAGAAGAACAATTAGCTTAGGATGATGGGTGGTTTCCGAAATGGTTTTGTTCTCTAGTGTTTTTTTCTAAATTCGACCATCTTCCGAGATTGTTATCTTGTCTTATACCTACCAGACATTGAGATATGGGTTTTCTCATAATATGTTAGAGCATGTGTAGGTCAGAATGATGGGAAATTCAGAAATTAGACAATTCGGAAGTAAAGAATTCTGAAATTCAGTGTTTTGGAGAATTCGAAATTCTCATTTTGCAGTTCTTAATTCCAAAATTCCGAATTTATAAAATTCTGAGATCAAAGGATCTCAAAATTCAAAATTTAGGAATTCTGAAATTCCGAATAAAAATTCGAATAGAGGTGGACTTCTACAGTGCGGGCAATAACTTTAGGATTTTGGAGGTTCCAGGAGAACGGGAAGAGATATCGAAATTCTGTTAACGCCATTCGATTTGTGATAAAAAGAAACCCTAGGGGACCAATTGTCATGAATCTAATACTTTCCGTAAAAGAGTACCATCAAAAAGACCTAAATCTGGCCGGTCAATATTTTTAGGACCCCCTGAAAATTTCGAAATCTTCGCCTTTTTTTTGGAATTTTCGCTTTTAAGCTGAAAATAACTTTCAGTTTCGCGCTTTTTTTGATACATTTTTATGAGTATCTCAAACAATTTTCATAATATGTCGACTTTCCAAATTATGGTTTTTTTTCCATTTTTTCGTAATTTTAGAAAATTGACCCAATTTTTGGAACATCACAGTGTCTGTACACAATCAAGGCTTTAACTGCGCTCCCAGTACCTAAATTGGATTCTCAACATCATATTCTCTATGTTCCACCAAAAATTACGAAAAAATGGAAAAAATGATGATTTGGAAAGTCGACAAATTATGAAAATTCTTCGAGATACTTATTAAAATGTACCAAAAAAGCACGAAACTAAAAATTATTTTCAGTTTAAAAGCAAAAATTCGACAAAAAATGACCAAGATTGCGAAATTTTCAGGGGGTCCTAAAGATATTTACCGTTCAGAAATAGGTCTTTTTGGTAGTACTCTTATACGGAAAGTGGTAAAATCATGAAAATTTGTCCCCTAGGGTTTCTTTCTATCCTGAATAGAATGACGTTTATAGAATTTCGATATCTCTTCCCGTTCTCCTGGAACCGCCAAAATCGAGGGGGGTCCTAAAGATATTGACCGCACTGTATTAGGAAAAATAGGGTAATACGAAGTCCTCTCATATTTGGATTTTTCAGTAAAAATCGTCAATCTTGATTTCCAAAATGAGTATTCTAGATTGTAATTGATTAGTTTGATATGATAATTTCTAGACTTGCTGAACCAAAATAGAGCTTCAATTTCGTAGTTGCACAACTTTTTAAACATACTCATCTTCATCAACGAGGTACCGAATTTTCCAGGAATCACAATGAGCTGCGATATATTAAGAGGCATCTCTTATTTGGATGAAAGTTTACAAAAAAGTTATCAACTACTAAGTTTGAGCAATATACTTGTTTAGTCTATCAGAAAAGTGTCAACACCATCTTTATTAAGCTTACTTCATTTTTTAAACATTCAAAATTGACAATTTCTCAAGAAAGATGGATTGAACTATTGACCAATACTGTTTCAAGTAAGTCATACAAAAAACAAACATTTTATGAAAATTCGAAATTTGAAAACCTTAAGAAACTTCACAAAACTAAATTATTGAGAGTAGTAGGCAATCAAACAAGGAACAAAGCAATCGGCAACTTCAAAAATAGAATGACTATGGTCCACCGCTCTGATGAATCAAGAAACTAACTCATAACTAGGCAAAAGCCGCCATTTCTCTTCCATTTTCTTTCACCGTCATTCTGTACGGCATGAAAAGGCTCGCCAAAACGTTTCAAGTACACAACACCTCTCGTTTATGGTATTTTGAGATTTGTTTACTCTACGATTCCGAGCCTAGGGGACAATGGGAATGAAATGAGGGGAGTGTATGTGTGTGTGTTTTTTTTCAAATAATTTGGGAATGAAAACAAATTTCACACTTTTTGAAACATTGGGATGAAACTAAAGAGAGAGAGAAAAAAGAACAAGGATAAGAAGGATCAAAAAATGATATGAAGGAGTGGGGGCACCGCACCTAACCAATATGTTTGCACTCGACCTCCGTACAACCTGACAAAGATTGAACACTGTTGTCTCATGATATGTACAGGTGCATATGGACGAAACATTTATATGCTAACATTTATATGCCTATTGGTAGCAGGTGGTGGAAATAAAGGTAGTGGAAATATCTAATCACTTAAACCCTGTAATAGAAAGGCCCGTTGCTTGGCTCCAAGGCAAGATATTAAATACGTGTCAACTGATAAAATGTTGGTGGCATCATGATAAAAAAATTACCAGTTGACCTCATTTTGATAACTTTGATAGGAACCGAGATAAATTGACTCAAAGTTGAAGGTGTCTCTTCTGCTGCCTGGTTTACTGTGAAAAGCTTTGCTTACTAGTTTGAATTTGAAATGTCATGATGTGTTGCAAGATAATTGTTTTTGTAATAAAAGCAAAAAAGAAAAAAAGTTTAAGAAACGTATAAAAAACAAGGTTACAAAACTACCGTAGTCAGTCTTGCAGCATTCTCAAAACTGATGCTCGGTTTCAAGTCAATTTATCTCGGTTTCTTGGAGAGATATGAAAAAAAGGTATACTGACAAAAAGTTCATTATAATATCAAAAATATTTCGTTTGTTGAACGCTTTTTGATATTTCTCACACGAACCGAGATAAATTGACTCAAAGTTAGAAATTTCAGACAATTCTGAGCGAGTGCTGTTTTCTAGTAGGCAAATGGTTGTAGGAGCCGGCCAGGTTGAATAGGTTGGGAATAGGTGTGCGGTAGGGACGCAAAATATTGAGTCATAAAAGATTTAGAATGAAACAATTCAGCTATAAATTTTAATATTGAATAGTCGACTACTGTGCGGAAACGGAAAAAGACAATTTTTTTTATTTTAAAAAATTCTAGATTGAGAACATACTCCCAAAATGCCCAAAATAAGAAACTCAAAACGAAAACCACTTCAGAAAAAACAGATCTCAACATAAATCTTGACCGGAAAAAAATAAGAAGAAGAAGACGTCAAGAGATTCTTGCGTGCCACGAGATGGGCCTTGGGAAGAAGGTAATGACAAATCTGCGAAGGGAGGGCTACAAAACGAACGCATATTACTTCCTCGCCCTTCACATCCTCCTTCCGATGCATCGTCACTCAAATTGTCACCTCAACCGAAGATGAATTATTAGTCAAATTTCGCGCCCCTTCCTCCCCTCCAATTACTCGTTACCATGAAAATGTGTATTGAAAAGTAGCAGCTTCTAAATAGGTTATTTTTCCTTTTACTTGAAAATGAATGGGTCAAAGTATGAAAAACTACGGAAACATTGAACATTGGAAAAATAAGAGAAATCAGGTATTGATAAAAATAGACAAATTTGAGAGAAGACGATGCCGTCTGAACAAAAGATGAGCACAAAACGATGGAGCCAAATCAAAATTGTGCCTTTTTGCCACCTCGAAAATCTTTTACTCAAACACGTTTCTCCCAGCCTTTTCGTGCTCAACCCCATCTTCAATCTTAATACAATCAAAAGAGCCTGTTCACACGCTGGGGCGCAAATTTCGCATAGCGATCTTTATGAATTATTTCCACTTTTTGTCCAGTCCGCAAACATTGGCGTGAAGAAGGGCAGTCGGGAAAAAAATGACCACCGCTTGGACAAATGCGTCGGGTAGATAACGAAGACGGCGAACATGAGCGATCACAATGTGTTATCGCATAGGAGAGGAAAAGCACGTGGCCGAATGGTCTAGTGGTATGATTCTCACTTTGGGTGCGAGAGGTCCCGGGTTCAATCCCCGGCATAATTATTACATTCGCATATTTACCTAAAACACTCTTATAGAACGCCACCCAACCCGTCTGATTTGAGCCCATGTATCTCATCTCCTTTGAAAGATATCAGAAAACTGCTAATTGGTAAAATGTTGCTAACATTACGATAAACATTTTCTTAGTTGACCCCATTTACACATCTTTTACAGAAAATGAGATATATCGACTTAAATTTGTATGTTTGGATGGCGGTCCATTAGAGTGTTTACGGTGTTTGGACTTGTTTTGAACGCTGTAGTTTTTATGAAAAAACAAATTTTGACAGTATTTCACTGAACAGATATAAAAACAATATTGCTTAACAACGGGATTTAAGACAACTGAAAAATTTGTGAAATAGCGTTGATGACGGCTCGTGGCGGCGAAAGCGACCCAATTCTACGGAATGGCGACATTTTTTGCCTCCAAAATTGCTGCGTTATATTTTACACTATCACTGATGCTTTTGCTATACTTTTGCTTCTTCTGCTCCTTCTGTCCTCAACACATTCCTATGACACACCTCATCTTCGCGCATCATGGTACGTCCCGCCCACACTATACTTGCTTCTACCCACTTGCCACTATCTTTCACTGTTGCCGGCTTCCGCTACAGGAGACGGTTGTCTTGAACCTTCCATCTCCTTTTTTCCTTTTTATTCTTTTCAACCTTTTTTCCTGAAATTTCTATCCAATTTTTACACTGAACACTGTCCCACTGGAAAATAAATCAGACGATCTGTAAATGTTCATCAGAGGAAAAATTTATCAGACGAAGGTTAAGAGAATACAGTGGCGAGAAGTGGTGAGGAGTATTTTTCCGAACATTCATAACTTTGTTCAAATTTTTTTCAGAGCAGTTTCAGATGTAACAGTGATCCGAGAATCCAAAAAAAACTTTTTTTAGAATTTTTTCTGGCTTTGATTTTACATGTCAAATGATTCTCAGTGTCCAAAAAGGCACTAAAAAAGTTTTGAAAATTTTTGGGAGTCGGGCTCTCGAGTTATGTTGCTCAGAGCACAAAAGGTAAGTTTCGGCATTTTTGCCATAACTCAGCTGAAAATGTATTTTTGATGCTAAAAGTTTTTCAAATGATGTGTTTTGCGTTGTTTATCAGTTGTATGTCAAAAGTTTTTTGATTGTCAAAAAATTTTCTTTTTTTTCACTTCTAGAAAAAATTTCTGAAATCTAAAAATGAGAAAAAAATTTTTCTCTACAATTGAAAAACTTTTGACATAAAACTAATAAACAACCAAAACACATCATTTGTGATAAATTTTCAGCATCAAAATATATTTTCAGCTGAGTTATGGCAAAAATGCGACACATACCTTTTGTGCTCTGAGCATCATAACTCCAGAGCCCGCATCCCAAAATTCATCAAAACTTTTTGGTGCACATTTAGACATTAAAAAACATTTGACATCTAAAATCAAAGATAAAATTCTGAAAAAAACGTTTTTTTGGATTCTCGATTCTTCTCTACACAACATATATGCGTGTGTCCTTTACATACATTGCTCATGGTTAACGTCCTCGCTTCACTATTTTGCTTCTTTGCATTCATTTCTCTTTCCGCAACATCACTAACAAGTCCCCACCATTTCTCTTTCTTTCTCCTTCACAACTTTTCTCCTCTTTATTCTTCTCAACCTTTTCTTCTCTTTTTTCATTTGTGGTTTATCTTCTTCAATATTCTCATTTTTTAAATTAAAGTTCTATCTGCACTTAGCGTACTTTTTGGTATGGCTCATCGAGCAGTAATACTGAATTTTATTGGAAAACGCATTTCCTAATTTACTCTATTGCCCGTGTGATTCCCGTGTGATTCCCGTGTGATTATGTGTGATTCCCCTCTTTCCTTTTCCAACTGGCAGAGGTATTGAACCGTCATTCTTTTTTGTTTTAGTGCGAACGCGCCCTAATGAACAATTGCAAATTTGAATTTGGTTGTTCCATGCTCACTTTTACATTGTCCAAATTTAGTTAATTTATCTAAACTTCTGAAGTTTTTTTCTGGTTTTATTGTATTCAAAACATTTTGTCTATAAAGATATCTTTTTTAAAAAAACTTTCAAAACTAGAGTTTAGACCAATTAAATATCGGAGCGATACTGACGAGATGATGTTAAATTTTTTATTTTTGCACTTGTTTGTAATTTGTGTGACAATACTTCCATATTTTCAATCATTCTGTTTAGAAAATAATTCTTTCTTACAATTTTGAGAAGATAGTTTATTTTTGAGCTCAGTTAAAATGCGAACGGGGTCGCTACGGACGCTCCGCGTACGCGCGCGGTTCAAATAGGAACCGCATACGGACCGCACGCAAACCGTTTTCAGAAAACCACAACACATTATTCCGATTATTCCGTATTCTGTCCGTTCGCGAGCTCCGTATTCGATCCGATTGCAAGCAATGAAGAAACGGATCCGTTTGCGAATCTGAATTTTGAGCTCGTTTACGAACTGATCTGTTTGTTCGCCATTCGCAATCAGATCGGATACGGAGCTCGCAAACGGATAGAATACGGAGGAATGCGGTTTCTACTTCAACCGCGCGCGAACGCGGATTGTCCGCGAATCAACTGTGAGGGAAGTGATTAATTTTCAGAGCTCATTTCACCTGCACGTTAAGAAGCAGGTATTTTCGAACCTTTTAACCAATTATTCGTAGAAAAATCACTGTCTAAAATAGAATTCTACAGTGTCCAGTAGCCTTCTTTTCGAATAGTTCTCATAATATTCTGATAGTGATGTTTTGGCTCGCACCTTTGAAGGGCATCACGCGTCACTTTTATTTATTTTATTTATTTTATTTATTTATTTATTTACGATTGCAAGAATCGTGGAAAAAAAACATTAAAATACATGATAATCAGATTCCAAATGGATAAATAATGAATTCTAGAGAGAGGAAATGTAAAATAATAGAATGAACTAGAACTAGAGTGAACATTGAAAAGAAATTGTTATGACATTGATATTTTGTTATGATATTTTGTTATGACACGTTTATAATGACCTCATGACGAATGAACTGCGTACCATCTGGCACCTAACCCCCTCTTTTCTCTCTCCTCTCCTATGATCTACACTCCATCTGGGCTCCGTCTTTGCCACTATGTGATACTGCGCGGGTCCTCCCCACGACCACACAGTTGCATGAAATGACGTCACCTGTCCTCTCTTCCTCATTTTCTCCAATTCCCTGTCCGACCCTCTCATTTCTCTCTATCTGCCCGCGCTAATTAGATACTCGGAAATACGAATTAGTTGATCATTCCTTTTGCTCATTTCTTTCGCTCATTTCTTTCGCTCATTTCTTTCGCTCATTCCCGTCTTTCTTGAGGTTTCGTATTCTTTAGATTTTGTAAACAAATTTCTATTTTTTGAGTATTTCGATAGTTATGGGTCGAATACTCTCAAAACATCAAGTCCACTTTTTGTGCGATGGTAGCTAAGAGTTTTGGCACTGAATTTTGTTTTTTACGCAGCAAATCTTTTTCATAAAATAGAGAAATGTGGCTGAAAATCAACATTTTAGTTTTTTTTCTGAACACTAACGAAAACTATTTCAAGACATTTATGATCAATGGAGTCAAATTTGAGTCATTTAAGTCATTTGAGTCGAATGATTTTTGACCTACGCTCCTCACAATTTACCTACGCTCCTCACAATTTACCTACGCTCCTCACAATTGACCTACGCTCCTCACAATTGACCTACGCTCACAGTTTGACCTACGCTCCTCACAATTGAACGGACCTCCTCCCATTCACCGTAGTAGCGGATATAAGAAACTTTCCGACCCCTTTTTTTCATTTCGATTTCATTCACCCTTTCCTTTCAATTTTCTTCATTCTTTTTCTTATTGTCAGCTGTTTCGCTTCATCCTATGCGATATTAAGTTTAAATTTTCAAATTTACAGGTGATATTAACAATCCGAATGAGCAGCAGCAGAAACAATAACAACGACTACCGTCGCAACGACCGCGAGTGGAGAAATGACGGTGATTGGAATCGTAGAAGCTACGAAAACAGTCGTAGATATCGTGAAGACGACAACTACAGACGTGACGATGCTAACTTCCGAGGAGGATACGAAGGCAACCGTGGCAATGGCCACTACGAAGGAAACAATCAGAGACGAGGAGGCAGTGGCGGTGGCGGTGGCTACCAAGGCAACCCGGACAACTACAGAGGCGACGATCGCAGAGGATATGAAGATCGTGGAGGCAGAAGAGACTACGGAGACAATTTTTACAATCAAATGGGACGCATGAGCCTTGATGGCAGAGGTGGAGATCGTGGTGGAGATGGCAATTTGTATGCTCAACAACGCAGCGGACCACGTCACACAGTTTCACGTCGTTCAGAAGCTGGAATGGAGAACCCTGGTGAGTTTGCCGGATCTGCGGACTACCCGAACATGCCGGTGGCTAAGAAAGATTTAGCTCATAACTCGCAAGTGTTCGCCAAGCGCCCGCCCACATCTGTCTATGACAACCCACGATGTGGAACAAAGCTCGAGCTCCTCACGAACCACTGTTTGGTCCACCTCCCAGAAAAGCCAGTTATACTTTATGAGTATAACATCGACCTTTACAAAGGAAGAAAAAAGGTGGAGAAACGAGAAGAGACAGGACCACTCTTTCGGGAGATTATGGACGCGGTACATAGAAACGAATTTCCACCAGCTCATCAATACGTCTTCAACGATGTCAATCTACTCTGGTCAGATATCCAGCTCCCATTTCCTGAGAAACTCGTCAGGGGAAGGAACGGACAACAGTTCTACTACAAATTCACCCGTGCAGTCGAGCTAGGACGAGAAGTTCACACCCAAGATAGTCAGCTGTTGTCGACGTTGGTTGATGCCATTGCCACAGCTCGGGTCAGATGGCCAAGGTGAGTTTGTTAAGCTTAATTTTACACCAATATGTGTTTTATTTTTAGACGTGTGGGGAACCAGTTCACTGTCTTCAAACGTTCGATCTTCTTGCTCCAAAACCGCGTTGACGAGGGAGCATTCGGCGACGCACCAGTCTTCGTGAAGCTTTGCAATGGAGTCGACGCGCGTATTGGAGTCTCCATGAGTGTCAAACTTAATCTTCGAGTTGGAATCACAGCTTGTTTCGATGGTGAGTTTGGGACCCAAATACCTTTTTTTAAATCTTGGCACCAAGTGTCAGCGTGACGATCGCCAGCGGAGTAGCGACTGAATAACGCTTACAACACTTCAGTATTAAGCCATCTTGAGTCGCTACTCAGGTGATGACGCGACGCCTCCAAACTCGGCTTGGGGCCGAATTTGAAACTTGACTTCTACTGGCGCCAAGTCAAGTTTGGGCGCGTCATGTGTCGGCATAGCAGTCGCCAACATTCCTAAAACTGAAGTTGTAAGCGTATTTTAGTCGCAACTCAGCTGGCGGCCGTCACGCAGATCGAAAAGTTTTGAACGCAGTCAATTCTTGCTAAGTGGCCCACGGTGCAATTTTTGAAAATGCGCTCTACAGCAATTCACCGAAAAAACACAAAATTTCAGTGTCCCACACGATGTTCACCCGTCCCGGCTACCCATTAGTCCGTTTGTTTTGGGAGCTCATCCATGGAGACACCATTCCTGATGAGGATATTGTCGACGGAAAGTGGGACGCTGAAATGAAGAATGCCCGCGTCACGGAGAAAAATGTGGCCTTGATGTCCCAGGTGCTCAACAAGATGAAGATCCTTGTCTCAAACGAAGAGGGAATCCGATTCGACGACCAGGGAAATTATCAAGAGAGAGAGATTTGAGAAGATTGCGAAATTCTCCCACATTCAAATTCTTCGAGTTCGGACCCGATTCTTTCTACGAATTCGTTAATGAGAATAATGAGACGCTATCGATCATTGACCACTACAGAGGCAAATACGGCTACAACATCCGTTACCCGCATCTCCCGTGTCTTCGAAAGAAACCACCAAGTAGGGATCGAAACAGAATGTTTTTGTTTCCATTGGAAGTGTGCAGTTTGCTCATTGATCCTGTCAGATTCACTGGCTACGTCAGCCAACAGCTCAAGGAACAGATGATCCAATACACTACCCTTACTGCCGAGCAGCGTAAGCTTGTCCTTCAAAACATCATCGGCCAGAATCCATAGGTGATTGTCCTCCGATCGTAGACAATACAGATCGGTATATGAGAAGTCACGGGATCGAGATGGAGAAAAAAATGTTGTCCGTAAAGGCGAGTCTCCTACCACCTCCTCGAGTCGTCTACGGAAACTCGGACTTCTTGGATTCCGATCATCTCGGAGAATGGAAAGCTGTCACCCATGAACCAGTCAGAACAGTTCTCGAGGAAGCGATCTACAAGAGGAACCGAGATGCCAAGGCTCCAAAACTCAAGAAGCGGCTCCTGGGATCGATTCTGAGAGTTGGATCTCCAATGAACGATACGGTGGCTTTCGAAATCGACGATACATGTTATCATAATCTCATGAGAGCCATCGAGGAGGCAGGACAGCCCGTATGCTGGGCCAATCGTGAGATGGGTCAAGCCGTGATCCATTCCAGCACCGAGTATCTGCAAGGGCGGGATTTGCCAGGTGTCACAATGGACTGGATGACCAGCTTGAGTCAAGATTTGGATTCGTACAAAGAGGCTGAGGACGAGGTTATTGTGCCCATCGTCTTGATGATTTTCCAAATCAGGTTCACCACATTGAATTGCGAGCGTCCGGACTTCCAGAATGACTACAGTACGTTTCTTACTGAAACCTGTCCTACAGATAACACAAATTTTCTTCTTTCAGACCTATTCAAATGGATGTCCGATAATGAGGTTGGAGTTTTCACCCAAGGAATTTTGTATAAGACGTTCAACTCGATCGGACTTTCACCAGCCCCATGCAAATACACTTCTCAACTCGTGGAGAAGATTCTCGGCAAAGTGGGAACAACTCATCGTCGTCTGGAGAGAGACGGAGAACACAAGTCCTGGAAGAAGTTGGTCAATCCAGCCGAACCAACTCTTCTTCTCGGCGTCGACGTCTCGCATCCAAGCACCCGAGATCTCAAGGGAGAGGATCCAGTGAAGCGTCTCTCCGTGGCTACAGTCGTTGGAAATATCGATTTCGATTGCACCGAATTCCGTGCGTCGTCAAAGATTCAAGATGTTGGTGAGGAGAGAATTGTCCGATTTGATGAACAAATCCATGAGCGAATTGGAGAGTTTGTCCAGTTCAACGGAGTTCGTCCAGCTCATATTGCGATCTATCGAGATGGTTTTTCGGAGTCAGACTTCCAGAGAACACTCTATGAGGAGAAGAAAAGTGTAGAGAATGCGTGTCGTGTAATCGCTCCAGGATACAATCCGACACTAACCTACATCGTCGTCACCAAACGCCATCACACAAGATTCTTCTTGAGAAATGAGGAAGAAGGATTGCCCGAGCAAGGATTCAATGTCCGTCCAGGAACCCTCGTGGAAGATACTGTGACTACCAAGGACTACTATGATTTCTTCCTGACCACTCAGGTTGGGCAGGTTGGTCTGGCAAGACCGACTCATTATTACGTGCTTTGGGACACGTGGAAAGTTCCGGCGACGTTCTGGCCCACCATCACTCACGCCTTGACGTACCTCTTCTGCCGGACAACAAACACTGTCAATCTACCATCGCCACTCTTGTACGCCCATCTGGCAGCGAAAAGAGCCAAAGAGACCATGGATGGAGCACTCTATGCTAATGCGTAAGTGTTGGGAGGGGACGATTTTTATTTGAAAATTTCAAAAATTAGAGTATTACGAACTTCGGAAACTCTATGAATCCAAAGATTATGTAAAAAAAGAACTTCAAAAACTGCAAAAAACCTGAAAATCTGACACTTCAGAAATGTGAAAATTTTTAAAATTTGTCAAAAGTACTTCGAGAATCTTTGAAGAAATTTTTAAAATTCGGGAAATTCCTGAAAATCCAAAAAATTGGGAAAGAAATTCCAAAATTCACTAAAAGCCAGTAATAAAAAATTGATTGAGATAATCTGAAAATAACGAATTTCAACATTTTCAGAAATTTCTGAACGTTTTCGATTTCTGAAAAATTTCTTGGAAATCTTTGCAATTTCGCTTCGCCAATTAATAAAATAACAAAAATGAAGTTTACTTCTGATATTAAGATTGTGAGAATCTTAGATTTTAGAATTCCTAAAATTAAAGCCATCACCTAAAAATGTTGAAATGTTTTTTTTCAATTTAAGTTTTCAATTTTTCAGTTTGGCTGGACGACAGTTCGATTTGTCGCAATTCCATGACCTCTCACAACTGACGGACTGCCTTCAGAGTAACCGAACTCTCGATGGAATGACATTTGTTTAAACAATATGCCCTTTTCTCTCATCACATTTTTTCTATTGTTTTGTCTCTATACCTCATTCACTGAAATAATAATTTCGTGTGAATTCTTTTTGAATTTATGTCACTCCACCCCCTTCCTTCTTCTTGATCTCGTTTCTTATATTGACCGATCCCTTCTATTTCACACAAATTTTATTGTATTGTTGTTGCAAATGCATTGCAAATATGAAATTATGTTATTCTTAACAAGTTTTCGATTCCTAAGCTTCTGTTTAAGTGGCCGCGGAACTTACGTCAGCTTACGAAAGTTAGGCCACCATGATGAACAGCCTAGAAAAAGCATCAAGTGCATGCTTGACCATTTCTGAACTACGGTGGCCTAGTAAACTCACGGTAAGAAAACTAGGCCACTCTGAAATCCCCACTCTGAAATTTTTTTAAAACAAACATTTGTTTTTCACAGACTTTAGGAAAAACATCATTTTGGGAGCGAACTAAAATTTGTAACTCTTGTTCCTTCCCATTTCTCAAACGCTAGACATTTTTCGAAATCTGTCGAATTGTCAGTTACGTAAACATTTAATCCTGAACTTTGTGAGAATGTTTGCTCTACAGGTCACACTAATTCTCTCCAATATTTCTGACATTTTCCTTTTCCGAATGTTCTTTCCAAACGTGAATTTCGTTTGCTTTTTGAGAATCGGAATTATGTACAAACTCTCAATTTTCGTATTATTTAGTGTGCTGTTTTGGAACAATTTGATAAGAATGTTTGATAGGTTTCGAGAAAAAAATATGAGAGATTTGAAGCGAAATCTTTCAAAAGTTTTCGACTTTTTTCAAAAAAAGTTTATGACTTAGAAACGTTCTAGAATTCACCTTGTGGGTTTTCTAGGCCATTTACAATAATGACCTAGAAAACTCAACCCGAGAGAGTTACGCCATCTTTTCGAAAGTTTCAGATTCTCGAAAAATTTATTTTTCAAGACCGCATTCAGGTATCTCCGATAGATTTATTATCTACATAGTTATTTTCATAAAATCTACGGGGCTAAAATTAAGAAAATGGACTATCATTGAGTGGAGGGTATTGAGACCATGAATATAATTAGTTTGGGACATGTTGTCCACTTGTGATTAATCGGCATCGCTCATGTCGCTCTCACTATCATCACTGTCGACTGGATCACTGACCGGCGCAATGGATCCAAAATATGGTTCTCTATCTTCTGGCAACATTCTGGAAATTTCAAATAGAAGGATTTTTCTGTTCAGGTTTAGAATTACCTGAAGATGGAAACCCGGAGTAGATGTTTTGCGGTGAAGGCGGTGCGCAAGAGAATCTGGAAAAAATTTTCATCACAGATGTCTTTAATGTGAATAGGAGCATCTGTTTTTACAAAAGCAATTGGCAAGTTCCAGGAAGGAATGGAAAGAATGGAGGAATATATACTTTTTTTTAGTTCCAAATCTTGAGACTCCCGAATGCACAGTTTTAATCACAATCACTATGAAAATGTCTTTCACAGTTAACTTACCGTTTACCGTTGGGCAAACTTTCTGAACAACATTTTTCTAGGCCACCGTAGTTAGTGGGGCAGAAATGGCTTAACATGAACCTGTTGTGCTTTTTAGGCAGTTTATGGTGTTTCTTTTGCAAGTTGAGTTTTCCTAGCTACCAATTTTTGGCCTGACCAAGATATGAAGTTTTCCTATAATGTGTTTTCTAGACATTTAAACAAAATGGCCTAATTTTTCAAAAATTGAGATATTCTGTCCTCCTAATTTCTTGACCTAAATTGATCTTATATTCACCTGGTGTGTTTTCTAAACCAGGGTGGCCTAACTTTTGCCAATTGAATATTCTGGTCCACAATGGTGTATGGCCTAAAAACCTCACCGGGACAATGATAGGCTATTTCTAGGAAAAAAAATTCGTGCGCATAACATTATGCCACAGACGAGTTTTTGGTCACAGTGCGTAAATTTTCTATGCTACAGCTATCAGTATTTTCACTAGCGGTAAGATTTTGCCGGAAAAATTTTCGAACGGAAAAAAAGCTTTAAATACAGGTGCATCCCTATAATACCAAAATAAGGGAGGATAAAATCCAAAACCTATTTTTACTTGAAAATCTTGAAAAATAATTTTCGCAATCGGGTCAAAGAAAAACTAAAAAAAAGCTTCAACATACAGAAGTTATATAATCTAAGAGGCTTATACGGTTTTTGACAATCTGGGAGAATTTAGTTTTTTTTTTCCTGGGATAAGGAATTTCGTAGGCAACAACAACTAGAATTTTTTTCAAACGATTTTGTAGATATGAGAACTCTGAATGTACTGGAATATTTGCACGACTTCATGATGGATTCCAGACGTCGTGTCCTGCTCTGATAAGTCATTTCTAACCCTGTTGCTCCTTTTTGGGAATTCGTATGAAAATTTTCTAAGATTGGAGGTTTCGACCTCGGCTGTGGCATTTCTAGATAGCCATCAATTTTAAAAATGCGCCGAAAAATGTTTTGCGATACGAGGAAAAAGATACGAATCGCTCCGTATTTTTTGACATAACCCGCGAAACGGCTAATCGGAGTCAAGGATCGGGAAACCGACTCCCCGCATTTCATTTTTCTTACTTCTCAGGGTTTCTATCCTTTGGTTTTCCTGAATTCACGAAAAAATGCCTTCAGACGGTGTGAGTTATAGACTACTTTAATTTTAATTCAAAATTGAATTATTTCAGAGAGAATGCGTCTCGATTCATATCGGCCAAGCCGGTGCTCAGATCGGAAACGCTTGCTGGGAGCTCTATTGTATGGAGCATGGACTCGACGAGGCCGGATTTTTGAAGGATGAAGAGGAAAACAAGCAACAATCTCTTCAAGCTTTCTATTCTGAGTCTATAAATGGGAAACACGTGCCACGTGCGATTTATGTGGACTTGGAACCAACTGTGTTGGATGAGATTAGGAATGGGGTGTACTGTAACTTGTTCCATCCGGATCAGATTATCAATGGCAAGGAGGATGCTGCTAACAACTATGCTCGAGGACATTATACTATTGGAAAGGAGTTGATTGATGTGGTGCTCGATAGAATCCGCAAACAGGTGAGCAAGATTTCCGAAGATGGTGTTTAGAGAAGAGAATACAAGGATAGGGAACTAGACAAGACTGTATTTGAAGATTTTAAATATATTTCAAAAACAGGGCTTCTATTTTACAGAAAAAGAAATAGATCCGTACAGTTTCGAATCTCTGGTTTTCATATTTTGAATGAAACCCATCCTCCCGCAATTTCCAGACCGAAAACTGCGAGGGACTCCAAGGTTTCCTTGTCTTCCACTCATTCGGAGGGGGAACAGGCTCAGGATTCAGTTCTCTTCTCATGGAAAGACTCTCCGTAGAGTTTGGGAAGAAAAGTAAATTGGAATTCAGGTTCGACGCTCTTGGCTCCCCTTCCAAGCCATAAATCCCAACTTTATAGCGTCTACCCGGCACCACAAGTCTCGACATCGGTCGTCGAGCCATACAACTCTATTCTCACCACGCACACTACTTTGGAGCTGTCCGACTGCTCGTTTATGGTTGACAACGAGGCGATTTACGACCTCTGCCGTCAAAAACTGCATGTTGAGGTTTGGAAGGGGGAGAAAAAGAACGAGATAAATTAGAAATGACATTGAAAAACGATGATCCTAATCTCAGAGACCGTCCTACTCAAACCTCAACCGACTAATCGCCCAAGTCGTTTCATCAATTACCGCGTCGCTGAGATTCGATGGAGCATTGAATGTGGATTTGAATGAGTTCCAGGTGAGAGAACTACAGTATGCATTTAGCCAGATCAAATGTCAAATTTTCCATACTAATTTGGTCCCATACCCTCGCATTCATTTCCCACTCGCCACCTATGCTCCAGTGATTTCTGCGGATAGAGTAACCCTACCGCCAAAAGTTTATGCTCTGAATTTTATTGTTTTAGGCTCATCATGAACCTCTATCAGTTCAAGACATCACCCATATGTGCTTCGAAAAAGCGAACCAAATGGTGAAATGTGACCCCAGTGCTGGGAAATACATGGTAATTCTAAAAAGAGACATTTTCTTCTGATCCTTAATATTTCAGGCTGTCTGCTTGCTGTATCGTGGAGACGTTGTCCCGAAAGATGTCAACGCGGCTATCTCGTCCGTCAAGGCAAAACGTGGAATTAACTTTGTTGACTGGTACTATTTTTTGTGCCCAGAATAGATAACAACTATACATTTTCAGGTGCCCAACTGGTTTCAAAGTGGGAATCAACTACCAAGCACCTGTTACGGTGGAGGGAGGAGATTTGGCAAAGGTACAAAGTCTCTTATCCTTTTTTTTCTTCGAATATAGAATTTTCAGGTCCACCGCGCGGTGTGCATGCTCTCCAACACCACCGCCATCGCCGAAGCGTGGGCTCGTCTCGACCACAAATTCGATCTAATGTACTCAAAACGCGCATTCGTACACTGGTTTGTAGGAGAAGGTGAGGGGATTAGGGGTTACTGTAGGGGCTGAGAAAAAGAGAAACGTGGAAGCACGTGCTCCTAGAAGAGGAGCCGTTTCGATGGTAGCCCGAAAAATGGAATATATTTTTTCTAGGAATGGAAGAGGGAGAGTTCGTAGAAGCTCGCGACGACTTGGCTGCTCTCGAGAAAGACTACGCGGAAGTTTCCAGGGATACCGCTGACTTGGAAGATGACAACGACGAATTTTAGTTTATTCAGATATTTTTAAAATTTTTTTTGTAAACTTACTCCATGCAAACTCAAATTATAACGCAAACAACTAAACCAGAGCCTGCTACCGTAATCCTGATCACTTTAAACCATAGCATTAAATACCTCTGTAATTACTCTCTACTACAGTAATCAACTAATATTTCTTTTAATAAATTTATTGCTTATTAGCTTTGCTCCTTCTAGAACAGATTTAGAACTCCGAAAAGCTACGTAATTTTATTAAAACTTACAGTAAGATAGACTAGTAAGGATCTGAATAAGTACTATTAGAAAATGGCACTAGTTAGATTTTTGCCAAAATGGGTGGGATACAAAAAGAATTGGGGATTGACGGAAATTGGTTTCAAAATCGGTGAATTTATGCAGAGAATACGTCCTTGGGAGTGAGATGCCAACTAGAGTGCAGACGAAAAAAGAGTGTCTCGAAAGGTCATTTGCTCAGTTCGTCTTCTCTTTTCCTTCGTCTTTATTGCCATTCTTTTCATTGCCACCCTGTCTTTTCTTCGTCTTCCGCTTCTTGGTTCGCTCTCGCTCCTCTTGATGGGAATCTGTCCCATCAGCTGAAAAAAAAGAACGTTTTCACTTTTTTAGTATCTCGTCTAAAAGGTCGTTTGGTAGCGATTTCGAATTAGGGAAGAGAAGAAAAAAGTTAACTCACAAGTGCTATCGTTTTGGCGAGGAGTGGTGGGAAGGTCGCTCCTTTTGGCGGGCACAGCGGATTTAGATTGTTTTTGTCGTTTTGTCATCCTCCTGCGACGAGTCTCAAGACTTGTGTTCCAGATGGTTCTAAATTTCAATATTTGGATTTTACAATGATACCTATAAAGTTACCTGGGCCCTCTTAAAGTCTCCACCGAGGTTCCAGGTGTCAACAGTTCCAAAGTTAGTGGAACATCCTCTGCTGAGCTACACGGAGTTGTTCCTTGAGAAGCCGTGAAAAATTCAGTCTCCGACTGAGAGCCACTCTCCTCAGCACTTGGAGCTGGAATCTGGTTGAAGTCAAAGATTGGGATTCTTCCGTGGGCCATTAGTGGTTGTGGGGTTCTGATAACTTCGTCTTCGCTCAGATCCAAAGAAGAGAAAATCCTCTCCATGTTGGTTGTTGGGCGAGAAGACATTGTATGATAAGAAAACAAAAACGGGATGAAACAAGAGGAAAAATTGAAAAGCACCTTGACAAGCTCCTCCCAAGGTGTGCAACGATTTTATATTTCTTCTCATGAAACCTACAATTTTTCGTTTGGAGCACACCTCCGTCAATAGAATACATTTGATGGCACCACGCAGATACACGGGATGAGACTGAAAAGTTCAAGACATCGGGAAGAAAATTTGATTATGGAAAGGCAAATGTTTTGAAAGATTACTAAATTCTAAGGACGAGTGAGTTGTAAAAAACTTCCAAATGTTAACAAGAAACGCTTCGAAAAATCCTGAAGAAAATTTAAAATAAAACATTTCCGAATGTCGGAATTCCGGAGAATTCCAGATTTCACTTTTCGGGATATTCGGAAAAAAAATTCGAGTTTGGAAAATCAGCACAAAAATTTCTCCGACACAAGGCAAAATTTCTGTCATGCTTCTACAAAAATACAGTACTCTTTTTCATAATTTATTGAAATTTTTGATTTTCCTATATTTCTCGGAATCATTCCATTGGGAATTTCGTTCTTGATTTTTACCATTATTTCACAAATTTTGAGGTTCTCCAAATTTTTTGTTCCAAGCAACCCTGCTTGAAGTATAACAGCCGAATACAGTAACCACTCCGAAACATAGAATGATCCTCTAAACAATTTATCTCGGTTTTTATCAGAGATGTCCAAAAACAGTGAACTGACAAAATATTGTTGATATTACAATGAAAATTTTGTCCGTCGACCACTTTTCAATATCTTCCACAGCAAATGAGATATATGTGGTCAAAGTTAAAGAATTGGGAAGCATTCTTTTGCGTTTACAGTGGCTTTATTACGGAAATCCGTACCTATCCTCGATTACCTAGCTAGTTTGCAATGTCAAACCAGCAAAGTGTGATTTCTTCCCCACTTGCCCAGTTGTTTCTTATCATTAACTATTTTGTTTATTGAATTATAGTCTTTTTTGCTTTCTTATCAGCCTTCTCAATTCCTGTCAATCCTATATAATATAATTTTCAGAGATAACAGATTGGTCGTTTCTTGGAAAAAAATTGGACTTTGTCCTTAAAAATGTTCAGATTCGATTGAATTTGAATGTGGGCATGTTTTTCTTTTTGGGGTTCCTGTTTTTGTCTCGTTGCATTGAATCAATGTCCTATTGCCCCCTTTCTAATCCGTTATTTCCTTTTTGCTAGATACCACCAAACCAACATGTTTGCTTACCAACGATGGTCCACAAGACGAGCGGAACGGTCTTTCCCTCCCTCTTCCTTACCTTCAAATATTTATTTTACCTTCTTTTTTCTGCCCAAGTCTTCGTCTTCCTTTCCCTTCATTTGTCGTTCTCCCTCAGTTCTTTTCTCTAACCTATAAGTTATCAAACCGTGTTTTCTATTCATCGTTTTCGTGGTCTCTTATCAGAGATAGAAATGATAAAAAGTAGTGGGCTTCTAGAAATTTTTTATCATATTTTATTCTAGAAACAAAGGACAGTCTGTTCAGTTTGTTAGCTTATTCTTTCGTAGCTTTTGAATTACTGTATTTTGTTTTTTTTTCAGTTTCATATATTTTTAGTTGTTTTTCTCCTTTTTCTTACACTGGTCATCAACCAAGAGATCGAAAGAAATAAGAGACACCTTAAGTAAACGAGCCATCCTCCTCCACCAGAAAGACCGTTCTCTTTTTTACCTCTACCAGTCCCATGTACTTGTCATGTTTACTTTTGTGTGTGGACGGAGTAGGGGCTTGCTTGCATATTGATCGACGAGGTCAAATGGCCGAAGGACCGGCACTATCACCGCACACACACACAACCGTGCACACAGACATGCAAACACGTCGCATTCGCATAGGCATACACCGTCCTGCCAATGGAGAATGATTCATTCTGACCGCCAAAACTTGGGTAGAAGCTTGTTGTGGATAGTGTTCTCGACGATGTTTTTTTTTTTCCTCCAGTCTTTTTCTCTTTCTTGATTATTATAAATATCTAAAACTTTTCAGAGATGGACTACCTTATGGATCGTTATGTCTTCGACAACTTGCCCTTCGACGTGGGACCGGAGGCTCGCAAAGAGTGGGGACAACGAGCACTTCATGCTATTCAGGTATTGTTTTTTCGAGGAGCTAGACTCATATTTTAGTATTTCCGAGCTTAGAATATCACGATACAGGTCACTCAGATTGACCTTTAGGTCTAAATTGTAATTTTAAACTCTATAGGTTCCCTATTAGTTAGGAGGTTTAGGGCACACTCAGACAGACAGAAAAGGAAGGAGTAGGTAGTTAATGTAGGTGAGAGCACAATATGAAAGAATCTCGATTGATCAAAGCGAAATGTGCCTCTATTTTCAAGTTTCCATGATTTCAATACAGTAGCTGGGGATACATCAACTTGAGGGCAAAAATGACTTAAATTGAGTCTTCAAGAGTAGATCACTTTCCAATTTTCAGTGGTTCGACTGGATCTGCAAGTACCAAGAAGTCTCGAAAATCTACGAAAACCACACATCCTTCCTTTTCGGTGAAATTCTCTTCTTTATTCTTGCTGGACTCACATTTGCTCACGCCTGGAGATCGGGAACTCGTTTTGTACTTGTCTGGTTTGGAATCCTTATTCACGCACTGAATGTTGAGAACCTTTGCTATTGGATCCCGGATATGGACAATTTCTGGCAGGCTCAAGGAATCCTTACCTTCTTCGGAGCACGTGCCCCACTTTACATTCTCATTGGAATCTATCATATGTTTGATTACACCTCATTTGTGCTCATGAGCAGGTTGGGCAATTTGCGAGCAGTTCAGAAGCAACATTCTTATTTTTCAGACTTCACTTGCCATGGTGGGCTTATGGGCCGGCTGTTGGACTTGGCGCCGTTATGCTCGACATGCCTTACGACATCATGGGGATCAAATTGGTTTGGTGGACTTGGCACGACACTGACCCGAACATCTACGATCGAATGAACTGGGTCCCATGGAATTCCTACTACTTTCATGCTTCGTTTGCCTGCTCCTTCACCTGGATTCTGATGTATTCTAGAAGCAAACTGGTTGAGAAGGAATACGATTGGAGAAAGTGCGTTTTAATCCTAACTGAAGATTATGACTCAATCAATAAAAAATTACAGACTTCCAAGAGAAATTCTATGTGTTCTGTTTGCTGGAATGGGAGCATTCTGGCTTGGGACTATCCAATTCGCTCTTCTCTACCATCCAATGCATGACATCTTCAAGGTTCATTCCGAGTACACTACCATCGCCTTCCTATCCATCTACGCGCTGATTGTGATTTTCGCGGATCGCCAGAACAAGAATTCCAGTGCACGGACTGGAAATAAATACTGGTTCGACGAGCTAGCTGCTGCCATTGCTATTGAGTATCTGTTCTTCATGATTGCCGTTGTCATCTCAGACCCAGTGAATATTGTTAGTGACGGACTTCACCAACCAATCGGACCGTGCAATGAGACTCAAAAAGTGCAAACACCAACAGGACTTGTGCTTCAGAAGAAGAAGTATTTCTGTGTGGATGACTATGATGAGAAGTACATCGACTTCCATTGTGTTCCAGGAGGTCCACCACAGCAGGTACTGTTTTTACTTTTATCCTTTCCTATCTTGTAATCATAATTTCCATTTCAGCCAGAGCCGGGTGTGCCTCTTGAATGGTACGCCGTGTGTGGAACTGACTATGAGAATCGAGCCGAGTACATTTTTCTCATCTGGTTCATCTGCATTCTTTACGGATGCATCTGGTACCAAATCGCCGCCAGGTCCGGTGTCACTCAAAAGGATCCAGTCAAACAGTTCAAGAAACGAGTTATTGGTGCCAAAAAAGATACCGAATCAAAGAAGACTAAATAATTGTCATAAGTCAAAATTATTCGTATTGATTATTAATTTTTTGTTTTTAAAATAAAACTGAATTCAAGCCATTTCAAGATTTACCCTTTCTTTTTTCCCTCTCCCTAAACACAGTGTCGATTATGTCGACATTGTGCTCGCTGCTTTTTTCTCGAGGTTCGTTTTCAAATGCTCTTTTCTTCTTTTTTTTTTCTTATCCCTTTTTTAAGAAGCCCTTTCAAATTACCAGGTTTATCCCTTCTCTCTCTTCTCCACGCCAACTTGTCAATTTAACAAAGTCGTTCTCCTTTTCCGTTTTTTCCGCATATTTGGCCTTTTAGAGGATTTGAAAATCGATGCACATGTGCTCGCGGCGGCATTAGGTAGTGTGGCAGAATGAGAAGGGATAGGTTGAAAAAGGGAAGAAGGTGCGACGGCAGGCGGCGAAGAAGTAGACGTTTTTCTGCAGTGTTCTTGTGAGAGCAAAAGACGTCTTCTGCTTTCAACTCACATCGAGAATCGATGCACTTGGTGTGTTTTTCTTTCCTGAGCACGCGTTTTTGGTTACGCATTTCTCGGTTTTAGAAGACAAGATTTTCAAAGTTAGCTATACTTTGTAGACTTACGATAAGAAAAACCTCTGTCATCTTCAAAAAAGAATAGTCTAGGTACTTTAGTGTTCCAGATTCTGAGCAATGAGATCCTTGCTCTTTGAGCTCAGTTATCTATATTTCTGCAGAAGCTATCAAAAATCTGTAAACTACAAAAATGTTGGTGATGTTATGACCAACAATTTTACTATTTGACTGGTTTTTGATATCTTTTACAGAAATAGAGATAACTGAGCTTCAAGTGAGTATCGGGTGCGGCTCTAGTAGAGAATTAACGAATTTCAAGAAGTTCAGAAAACTAATGTTTTTCTCTATTTTCATTTTTTTTTGCTGTGCTTTTAGGATATTTTTGATGTCTAGTCACATCCGATTCTGATCACAATCTTCAAAAACGTTTGAACTTCAAGTCTCGAACTCTATTTTCAAAAGCGGGAAGGTTACTTGGATGTCTATGAGTTCACCATCTGTCATCATCTCTAGATTTTTCATCGGCTCCAATTGTAGACATGACTGGCTCCTCATAACATATACACTCTGACGTTTAGCTTCAAATCTACGCTTCCTGATCTTTTCTTCTCACTCACACTCTCTCACTCCCTTCTCGAAAGCTCGATGCACTTCTTATCAGCAAATCCTTGATTTCTTGGCCTCTTCCTCTCGCATGACACCTACAATTATTTTGAAAATCCTCTCTTATTTTTGTATAGTGGCACCTCCTATATCAAAATGCACCAATTTTGATAGACTGAGTCACGAGGACACCGCCCGTTTTTCTTTTTTTAGATTATTCCATTCTGTTTCTTTCAGTAATACTCCTTTTCTCAGAAATGGCTGTAGCAGATGATCCTATTGGTAACTTTACTACGAACACTGTGTATAAGACTTTCAGTGGAACCTTTAAGAACATTGAGGTAATTTGAGAATTTCAAAAATCTGAAACGTGAAGACCAAAGTTTTGCTTTCAGATGCTGACCTACTGCTGCCTGTTCCAAAGCGCACTAATTCATCTAATCCATCCAAAGAGCCGTTGCGGAAAACTGGTTCGTAAATACGTCACGATGTTTTGCAGGACAGCCAAAGTAAGCATTACAGATATTTGCATTTAGATGATTCTGGAATATTCAGGAGTTTGGAGAAGCTATCCATCCTCTTCTCTTCGGATACGGCGAGGATGCCGACTACGGGAGAATTGATCGTCTTCTTCACGAGGGACGTTACGTGGTTGGGGGATACAAGTCTATTGAATCACGAGACTCGGATGAGCAGGAATCGGATCAGTCGGATGAGTCGTCAGATGAGTCGTCCACCGAGACAATCATCGTGGAGGTGGTATCTAGTGAGGACGAGGAGGAGGAGGATTTCGTGGTGGCAGAGGAAATTGAATTCGTGAACCCAGGGGTTTCGGAGCTCGACGATGAGGAAGAAGTGTTTTCGGCTGTCAGTCGTGCAGAGGCCCAAAACGTTGCCAATGTCTACCGCACCTATGCATCAATGGATAGGTTAGTGAGGATATTGTAAGGTTGTGGGACAACTGGGATAACCGCAAATCTTTTTGAAGGTCTATTTTTTAAAAATTTCAGTCAAACCGAGCAAGCACGTATTGAAGAGGCCCTCCGCGCCGATGAGTATCTTCTTAAGAAAGGCCTTATTAAGGCCAAGCAGTTTGGAGAAACCATTATTGTTCCATTCTAACTATTATCGCTTTATTTTCCTGATAATTTATTTTCGTTCGTCTTGTATATTATTGAAATTTTATTGTTATATTTTTATTACTAAAAATCACATTAATTTTAGATTTCTCTTTCCCAACTAGCTTCCAAATCTCGCCTTTTTTTCATTTTTGAAGAAAAAACCAACTCAAATTGTATATAAAAACGCTTTATGATGAATAAATGAGGAGAAAAAAATACTTTGAAGAATTTACAGTAATGGCAGGTGTCTTGATGTATCACGATTGTTATCACATTCGTCTTGGAAAGTTCTGGATTTGGGCACCGGAGGATGTGTCGTCGATGACGTTAAATCAACACTGGCTAGTGGATTCAGATTCAGATGATGAGCAACTAAAATTAGGGAAATCTCGGTTAAAAAAATTCGAAAATATGCCACTATATGTATTTGCATCACATGCGGGATTAGCTACTTTTTGTTATTTTTTTTTGAGGGATAGAAGTAAGTGAGTAAGATGGAAATCATGCGAAGATGAGCAGACAGTAGGCACAAAGCACATGGTGGAACAAATCATAACCGTGTCATTTCGAGCACTTGCTCCGCGTCACTCGAGTCTTCAGAATCCGAACGGAGGACGTGGTTGATTGTAGCTGGCATGTATGGAGATTTGTGATCTTCCAAGTCGGGCTCCATGAGTACGGTACGTGGGTCACGAGCAACTGGGACGAGTGGAGCAGGCTTCTGTAACATTTTGACATTGAAATTCGTAACAGATTCTAGAACGCTGAAACTTTGTGTTTTTAAGAGTTCTGCTGTTCAAAACCTCCAGTCTTTTTTTTGTGATTTTTATGCTGAGTTTTTGACAATTGCATTTTCTACGATAACATGGTTTGAAGACCGTGACATTTCGATATTCGGATAGTTTAAACTGTAATTTTAAAATGTTGAGATACTAATCTGCATAGTTTTAAGATTTTGGGATTATTTAATTAATTCTGAAATTAGAGAATTCTGGAAATCCGAGGTTCTGAAATTCCAGAACCTGAGATTCTGGAATACCGAGATTCAGAAATTCCGAAATTCTGAGATTCTGAGATTCTGAGATTCTGAGATACTGAGATGCTGAGATTCTAAGATTCTGAGATTCTGAGGTTCTAAATTTCTGAGATTCTGAGATTCTGAGATTCTGAGATTCTGAGATTCTGAGATTCTGAGATTCTGAGATTCTCTGATTTTGCTAATTTGCAGAAATCAGGCTACTTTTTTCTTAGTCGTAAACGGCTAATTTGTGAAGAAATTTCAGTTTTTTTAGTAGAATTTAATCTGAAAAAATCAAAAACACTCACCGGCTGCTCAATCTTATCCGGAAGTCGACACGTCGGCCAAATCACGTATTTTGCAGTGTCCTTGTACCTCATCTTGATAAATGCAGCCTTCTCGTTATCCACAATATTTTCCGTGTTTCTTGTCAAGAACTGCAAAAAATGTTTGTTGTTACTTTGAAGGGTACTCAACCGGCACTTACTTGAAGACTAATTGCCCGTTTGAACAAAGACGTTGACGATTTGGATCGCTCCAAATTTGTCACACTAGCATGTTTGCCATTGGTGGATGGTCTCGCCGATGCACTCGACGTGCCCGGCTTATCTTCATCCGAACGCCACATATCCACAGGTTTATAGGTACCCCTGCAAACTGGTGAAAATGAAAAAAACGTCGTTATTTTTCAACGAGAGGTGAGAAAGTAGAAAAAAGAATAGACTACAGGAAGCAGTCCTATCGAAAAATGCATAACAATGTTGAAATATTATATCATGAAGGAGAAAAAGGAGAACAAGGGAAGACAGAGAAATAGGACTGATTCATGTTATCATCAAAAACCAAAACGACGATAGCATTCGGAGAAAAATAATCAAAAACAATGACGATGGTATTTGTGTTCTAGGTTAGTTCTGAGGAATGGGATAGTAGAAGTGAGACAGAAGACTGGGTAGTAGAAAAAATAAATTCGAAAATTTTGGAAAGAGACGAAAAGACAAAAGATGCTAGGTTCCGATAGTCCCGAGAGTAGTAAAAACTGAACAGTATGCGAGAGAAAGTAATAGAAACGAGGAGAGACGAGATGATGAGTCATAATTGCGGAGGGCAAACGGCGGGAGGGAAGACGACGGACAAGAAGAAAAAGAAGGAGAAGGGCAAACCCCCGATGCAGGTGTTGAAACATTTACGACAATAGATAGGGAGAAGGAGACGGGAATGAAGAAAGAGACTGGCAGTTGTCAAAACAAGGGTTGTGTTATTTGTGGTAAAGATATATATTTATGGATGGATTGCTAGAAGAAAACAAGCAAGAATTGGGTGTTCCCAAAATTTATGAAATGAATCTTTTCAGGAGAAAAATTTTGGTTAAAAAAAATATGAAAAAAAAAACTTTGAAAAGCTGATTTTTGATTTCTTCCGATACGGTACCTGTCTAGAAGACAAAATAAGCACACCCGAACCGTCAACTTCAAGCTCAATTGTCCTGATTCCTGTGAAAGATATCAAACTATCGTCAATTAGTAAAACATTGGTGATATTATGATAAATAATTTGTCCTTTTGACAAATTTTTAATATCTTACACAGAAATCAAGAAGAATAGGCTCAAAGGTGACGTGGTGGCTGGGCTTCTTTTAGAAATACGGTTGTAACATGATTTCGTTTCGCTATTGACTTTTTTGTTCAAAAGTTCAATTTAAAAAGCGAGTTTTGGTATTCAGTTAAATTGCTTATGTTCTATAACTTTCTCAGATAAATCGAAATTTTTTGGAAGACTCGAAAGTTGACCATTTTCCAATGAAAAACTCAAAGTATTGTATTTTTTGACGGGTATTGTATATAATTACGAATTGAAAAACAACAAAAACTTTTGTGCCTTGAACTCGAAAACCTATTTTAGAAAACAGTTGGTTTTGAAAAAATGATTTTTCAAAAATAATGCACAAAATTACGGTCTTCCGAAAAATTACAGTAGTTAGATTATAGCCACATAAACCACAAAGCCTGAACCACTTTGCGTGATGGAAGTGAGCAGTGGAACCTGCGCCGTATAAGAGTAAGATTTGATGGGCTCGCTGGAGCAGAATAATTGGCTGGTTGCCGTCAGAGAAACGCACGTAAACGACTTCACCGCATTCTTCTTCCTTTCCCGCTTTCTCGTTTTTCTAGGACTTGGAGTAAATCAAATGATGGTCCGTTAAAGAAAAAGTCGGAAGAATGACAAAAGAAATTTTCGTGGTGAAGACCGAATCAGTGGCAATGGGAATGCCATGAAATTTGATTCTCTTTTCGAGACGCGTCTCGCTTTGCTCGTCATCAGTAGCGTCGTGGGAAGCAGAAGAAGATAGCGGAATAGCGAAATGGGATAGGGCATGGAAGAAGTAGCGAAAAAAAAAAGATGAAGGCGGAAAGTTGGTGATGTAGTGGTGACGGGAACGAGGACGGCCGAAGAAAGAGAAGAGAACAGATGAAAAAAAAAACTCACTTGACTTGGTGAATTATTTATCAAAATAAAGAGAAGAAGAGACGGAAGATTAGCTCTTTGGCAGATCGCCAACTTTCTCTTTTTAAAAAGAGACTAAAAAGAGAAACTAAAATTTTCGAAATCCTAATGTGGTGACACTTGCACATTCAATTTCCTTTCTTAAGCAACATTTGAGTGCTCTTTGAGAAGAGGAAGCCATTGGTGAAAAAGGGCAATGCAAATTAGTTTGCACCACAAACAAACAGGATAAATTGGATGGCGGGAGGGACCACTGGCGGAAACGTAGGCCAATATCAGAGAAGAGCAGAGAGCACAGCTGTTTGTGGGCTCACGGGAGCACACACAGCAAAATTGCATTCGAAACGATTATCGAGGAACAACTATTGTGATTTCGGCTCAATTTGAGAAGGTTTCATTGTTTTTGGAATGGAGCGGGAAGTTGGGATTACTGTAGAAATGAAAAACAAAATTTAGAATCGAATTTTTTGGAGACAGCTACTTTATTTTCAAGCGGACCGGCCCGGGCAGATGGCGGGTCGGCGGATAACTTGTCCCTAAAACGAGATAATCAGACAGTTTTTATACCAAATGATAGGTCTTGAAAGGGCCCGTTGCGCCTATAATTCGAGCCGAATTCCGGTCCGATAAGATTTCGAAAAATTTGTTTGAATGACAAAAAATCTGCTTTTTGACAAGTTTGGCGAAAATTGTCATTCAACCCCAGGTTTCGGCATGTTAACCGAACCGGAATCCGACTCGAATGGTATAGGCGTGATGGGCCCTGTTGAGATCTGGCATTTGGTATCAAAACTGTCTTATTATTTCGTTNTAGGGACAAGTTATCAGCCGGCCCGCTATCTGCCCTGGCCAGCATGCTTGCAAGTTTGCTTCAAGAAAACGTCCAAATTCAGAGAAATAAAACAACTATTGTTTTTGTTGTTTCTGTTTTCCTGTGTTCGTTTTTTCTTCGTCCACAAAAAAACAAGAGATACAAAAAACTTTTTTTTTCTCGCGAAAAAAAAACTGACACATTTCCAAAAACAAGAGAAAAAAAGAAACGAAAACAAAACTTTTGAGGCGGGTTGTCCATTAAAATAGAATGAGAGTTTGAAATTGGGTTGGGAGTGAAATGGAGAAGTTTTGAGAGATAGTTTTGGCTTTTGAAAACATAATAGGATTAGTGAAAACACGAAAAAAAGGAAATTTTCAGTTTGAAAACTTGAAAGAGACAGTAAAACTAATCGCTTTTTCTGCGGTATGAGAGGACGCTTCTACTGAAATGATGTTTACTGTTTGGGTGAAGCAATGCTGAGCAAACAGGGAAGAGCTGTCACAAAACCGAAAGATGATAAGACGTTTGCACGGATTTCTAGCATGATGTGGATATCTGTGCAGCTGAGAATCCAAAAAATTATTATTTTAAAAAATCTGAACTTCTGAAATTCCTTTCACCTCCCTCAAAAATGTAAATAATACAAATTTTGAGTCATTTTATCATTATTATTGTATTTTTTGTTCTTCTTGTCTCCCGCGCAATCTTCCCATTGCCTTCTTCTTCGTCCTCCCCTGCCGTTCGCTCATACCCGCTGACGTCACACAGTGCATTTGCGCGGGGCGGTGTTTGCGGACGACGACTCACTCATTTATTTTCTGCACCCGATTCATCAATTTTACCTGTTTTCTTTGCTTTTTTTTGTAGAAACTTTACAAATCTATAAAAAATACATTTTTCAGCGATGGAAGCTCAATATCAAAGCACAAACTTCCTTCTACAAAAAGTCCAACACGATCTGGGACGGTTGGAAGGAACGCAAAACGAACAGGACGCGCAGGTCGTTGTACAGAGTATTTATGGAGATATTTCGTGAGTTTTACATTTGAAACGTTCACCGCAAGATATTGAACGTTTTCAGAACACTGAAAGACAATTTGCAAGCGTTGGACAACTACGTTTCCCGTGAACAACCTGCAAGGCGGCAAGCGGTTCGTTTTTGTGCGAGGAAAAATCGATAATAACAGTTTTCAGGCACGAATGCGGGTTGATCAGCTGCGGATGGATGTTCAAAGAGTGGATATGGCAGTTTCAGCAGTGCACACAAGAATGACACAGAGATGGAGGAGTGCTAGTGAGCGAGAAGAGCTATTGAGTGCTCGGTGAGTATTTTGTTCTGATAGTTTGCAGGCAAAGTTTGGATGGTCTCGATTACCTGGGCACCAATGTAAGGCAGCTAATCAGCAAATGATTTGACCGATGTGCTTGCAAATGCACAGAATAATCAAATGAATAAATGTTATAGAAAGGAACTGACCTAGATTGATCCGAATATTGATGTTACAATAGAAGTTTTTTGAAATTATCGCTTCAATGAGGTGGAGAGGAAAGCTAGCTAAGTCGATAACATCAAATTTGAATGAAGAAGCAATTTTGTATCTCGTCGTAACAGAACTGGTCTGAAGCGACCCTCGTTCGGGTACCAACAGCCTTGGGGTCAGAAGATGAGTGACAATTAATTCCGGAGTGTCCAGAAAGCAGGATTCGTATTGCTTTTCTGTCGACTCAGCCGCATTTAATATTTGCTTTTGATACCTCCAATCAGCTCAGTACAGTATTTGATAGCTGCCAGTGCTAGTTGCCATCATTCTTCCAATGCATTTTAACTTTATTCAACCAGAATTTTCTTAACTTCCTAATCTGCTACTAGACTCGCAGCCAACTTGAGGCTGTAGGAAAAAAGCTATTCGTGGACTTCCAATGTTTGTAACGGTAAATCTGACTCATCGGTTATTCTACAGTAATCTAGAAAATTCAACTTGTGCTAAAATATTGAAATCCAAATAGAAGAGATCGTGATATCAAATTATCAGAGACGTTGATGTTATTATATACCAAAATTATTGATTTTCAGGTACCGACCCAACGACACGGCACTTTCAATTGGCGACCACGAACTACAGCTCAACGACCGTCTTCACTCCTCTCACAATCGTGTAAGTTTTAATTTTTTGTCGAAAATACCAGCAAATGCAAAGCTTTCGGCTTCACGACCACGTTGTCATTTTTAAAAACTGCCGCCTTGGCCATCCATTGGTTTCAGCAGCGACTGACAGCTAAAAATTAGAGTGATATGATAGTTTGAACCTCTGATCCTCTCCCAAATCTTCGTAGAAATCTGATTTTTTTAGAGCAGAGATTGTGGAGACAAAGTGGGAGATGATCTGAAAGCTCAGGGTTTACAACCAAAATAAAAAATCAATCCAATATATTCGTTTCCAGCTCGACGAACTGATCAGCCAAGGATCTGCCGTTCTCGACAATCTCAAGTCTCAGCACTTTAGTTTGCGTGGTGTCAGTCGAAAAATGCACGATATTGGACAAGCGGTATGTTTCCATACATCTCATTCCCACAATACATTAATGATTTTCAGCTCGGTCTCTCCAACTCCACCCTCCAAGTCATCGATCGCCGTGTTCGAGAAGATTGGATCTATTCGTTATTGGGTGCATTGTTTGCTGCATATTCATGTACGCATTCTACCGTTTCTGGCGAGGATAGCGAATTATCAACGAGTAGGGTTGATTCAAATGACCGTTATACCAAATCTAATGCCATTGCTGATTTCCTGACATTAAATGTTAATATTTTTGATTATTTTTTGCTCATATCTGGTCAGTATAACTTTTAAATTATTTTCCGAACACTACCCTATTTATTTTCTTTCCATTTCCACCTCGTTTGCTCTGTTGAATAAAATATTTCAAAGGAAATGATTTTGTAACATACTACAGCTAACTGTAGATAATTTTCTTCACATTTTTTTCAGAGTTAGTTTGATAATTCACTCATTTCAGAACCTTTTTAATTCACCTTCAGATTTCCTCTTCACAAAGTCTCTTTCAGAATTTCGGTCTTTTCTGACACTTCAGGTCAAGAAAAAACTTGTCATCGTGCTTGCTGGAATGGTACGGGGAGACATTTTTTTTTAATTTTTGTAATAATTTTCAGTTTCCAGATCTCAATCTATACTGTCAGCCAATTATTTCGGAAACCGGACCTATTTTGGTGCATAACTGACTTTTAAATACTCACGGATCTTTGAAAAAAATTTGCCAATGATCTGAAAACTGCGACATTTGACAAGTATTTGCCTTTGATCTGTGTACCTGTATTGCTGGCTTTCTCATGATGTAAGAGGGGCAAATCCGGGCATAAAGAAATGAAGACGAGGGATGGGGACCATGTTTACCGCTAATTTGCGCAAATCGGCGTTCAGCTAAAAAGGGAGAAGTTGCATCATAATTAGGTTCATTAGTTGTTACCTCACCTTCTTGATGACGATTGATGACGATTTTTTTTTGAAGTCTTGATGACGGTTATTTGGAGACATTTCTCAGCTCTCAAACTCATGATCTCAGACGAGACTCCCACCAAACAGAATATGACTACCAAAAACTTCATCTGCTCATTAGCCCGAAAACGTCACTGGAGATTCAAAATAAGGTCGAAGCGCGGTACTAAAAAACTAAAAATTGCTTCTCAGCTGAGAAGTAAAACAATTTTAGACGATTGATCTAGCCGTCAAAGGCAACGATGACGATATTCAAATTGCACACTATTCGAAAGGTAGATATCGGTCGCTGAAGCAGTCGGTCTTAGTTTCAGATCATTGAAAAATTCGGTAACTGTCATTTGTTTGGTTCTTGTTTATGACGTACCAGGAATTAGTTTTATGTAGAGAACATTTTTCTGGTCCCAAAAAAAAGTTTTCCAGTTTTCACTTCCCAAAATTTCCCATACTTCTCTCTTCTCCAAGGTTTCACAAAAACGCTTCTCCTTCTGACGGAAATGGAGCAACACGAGTGTGTGAGCAATTCTCCGAAAAATTTGTATAGCGCGCGTCCTAGCACCGTGTTTCATACACACACTGCCCCAGTAATAGCTGTTGGAGCCCGTTGTCGTTTTCTCCGCCGTGTTGCCGGACGTTGTCATGGCAGCTGCGAGCAGAGTCCCGTTGTGTGCATCGATTGAGCAAGAAGACGTGGAGACACACATGCATACGCTTCACCAGCTAGGCAGCTGCCAACAGAAGACGCCCTAAATTGGGCCCCGTTACCTCTGTCCTTTTTGGTCCCGCCCACATCCAGCATCGTCTTTTTTGGGGTTTTCATTTATGCTCTCATTCTTCCTTTGGCTTCGTTTTTTGCCAGCTCGCTTTTCAAATTCAAAAAACCCCTATAAAATTAATATTTTCAGAAAATGCGTGAGATCGTCCACATTCAGGCCGGACAGTGCGGAAACCAAATTGGAGCGAAGGTAAAAATGTGTTTCTTTTGAATTTTAGCATCTATAATGACTATTTTCAGTTCTGGGAGGTAATTTCGGATGAGCATGGAATTGACCCAACCGGAGCGTACAACGGAGATTCGGATTTGCAGTTAGAAAGGATCAACGTCTACTACAATGAAGCTAGTGGTAAGTAGCGGGGGTTTATTGCTTAATTAGGTAATAAATCATTCTATAAGGACTCTGGGTATCGTCTTTAGTCAAATTGTAGATGAATAGGCTTCCAGAGTCCCACTTATAATTATTCTGCTCCGAAACTTAAGTACATTGTTTGGACGATGAAATAGATATAATACACACCCCAAAAACGTCATTCGAACCTACCAGTGCCATTCGCAATTTTTTCTAACAGTTCACTTCAATTTTAAGATTTTTGGCCAAACCAGAATTAGAAATATCTTCTAATCTAAAGAAGGAAAAAACTCCAATGTTTCTAGTTGTTTAGAACTTCCCACTAAAATAGTGAACTGTTCAAACCACTAAATTTTGGAATAGTTCTCTAGAGCTCGCTAAATTCATTAAAATCGAAGTATGGAGAAGGCGATAATTGTAGTTGGTCGATACTGTACCTACATTCTGAAGTTTTTAGGATTTAATGTAACTTTGAGTACATGCCCTTTAAAACTTAAATCAACTTTGAATACTTGAATACTTCACTTTCTTTCACTTCATTTAAAAAAATATATCATTCCATGTTCCAGGAGGGAAGTATGTCCCACGTGCTTGTTTGGTAGACTTGGAGCCGGGAACCATGGACTCCGTGAGAGCCGGCCCTTTCGGACAACTCTTCCGTCCGGATAATTTTGTCTTCGGACAAAGCGGTGCCGGTAACAACTGGGCCAAAGGACACTACACCGAAGGTGCCGAGCTTGTTGACAACGTGTTGGACGTTGTACGCAAAGAAGCCGAAAGCTGTGATTGTCTTCAGGTAAGCCGCGGTTTCTTATACCCCGATTTCGCAATAGAGCATAAGGCCCGAAAAAGAGTGGGAGAGTACGGTTCAACGCCTTCTGGTGTGTCCTAATTTGTTGCTTCCTGTTTAGTAGTGGAGGTGGCGGTGTGCACCTGTTTCTTGAACCATTGTGACGGAAACAGCAGAAAGGAGGAGAAGTTACACAAGAAGGTGACATATGGCAATCAGGATTACTGTAGTTAGATGACAATTCGGATCAAACACGTGGAGAATACTTCGAATAGGAAAGCCTTTATTACTTTCAGGGCTTCCAAATGACTCACTCTCTTGGAGGTGGTACTGGATCTGGAATGGGAACCCTTCTGATCTCGAAAATCCGCGAAGAATATCCAGATCGTATCATGATGACGTTCTCTGTGGTGCCAAGTCCAAAAGTTTCGGACACTGTCGTTGAGCCATACAACGCTACGCTTTCTGTCCATCAACTTGTCGAAAACACCGATGAGACATTCTGCATTGACAACGAAGCCTTGTACGACATCTGCTTCCGCACGCTTAAGCTCACCACTCCGACTTACGGAGATTTGAATCATCTTGTCTCGATGACAATGAGCGGAGTGACCACCTGCCTCCGTTTCCCCGGACAGGTAAGAACTAATTGGACCTAATTATGATGCAACTTCTCTCTTTTTAGCTGAACGCCGATTTGCGCAAATTAGCGGTCAACATGGTCCCCTTCCCTCGTCTGCATTTCTTTATGCCTGGATTTGCCCCTCTTACATCACGAGGAAGCCAGCAATACAGGTGCACAGTACAGAGACATGTTTTTGCCAAATGTCGCAGTTTTCAGATCTTTGACAGTGCCTGAGCTCACCCAGCAAATGTTCGATGCTAAGAACATGATGGCTGCTTGCGATCCACGTCACGGGCGTTATCTCACCGTCGCTGCAATGTTCCGTGGAAGAATGAGTATGAAGGAAGTGGATGAGCAAATGCTCAATGTGCAGAACAAAAACTCGTCCTACTTTGTTGAATGGATTCCAAACAACGTAAAGACCGCAGTGTGTGATATTCCACCAAGAGGGGTCAAGATGGCGGCCACGTTCGTTGGAAACTCCACAGCTATCCAAGAATTGTTCAAACGGATCAGCGAGCAGTTCACAGGTACTTTTGTTTAAGTTTCGAATCATAAGATCTTTTTTCAGCTATGTTCCGCCGGAAGGCCTTCTTGCATTGGTACACGGGAGAAGGTATGGACGAGATGGAGTTCACTGAGGCTGAGAGCAACATGAATGACTTGGTTTCCGAATATCAGCAGTACCAAGAAGCAACAGCGGACGATGAGGGAGAGTTCGATGAGCACGACCAGGATGTTGAATAAATATTCTGATGCCGACTGAAATTTCCATTTTTTGATTGATATTTTCTATAATCCTCAACTTTTATATATTTCTCCTGTTCATTTGTGTCATAATGGTTACTTTGCTACCGAAGCAAACTTTTTTTTCAAAATCTCCTTTTTTTCTTTACAAACTAGTTGAACCAAACCTGTTTTTCAATTTTTAAGTCATTCGAACTACTAGAATACTCCTCAATTTTCCAATTTTCCTGTTCATTTGTGTCATAATGGTTACTTTGCTACCGAAGCAAATATTTTTTCGAAGTTTCAACTTTAATAACTCTCAACTTTTATATATTTCTCCTGTTCATTTGTGTCATGATGGTTACTTTGCTACCGAAGCAAATTTTTTTTCAAAATCTCCTTTTTTTCTTCACAAGATTGCTAAATCAAACCTGATGTTTCATTTTTAAGTCATTCTTACTACAATTATAGCCCTCGATTTTAAATTTTCCTGATCATCGTTGTCATAATTGATTTTTTCGCTACCAGAATATTCAGCATGCATGCGTCGCTACTCGCTACATTTTTTTCATCTATTCAGAAAAGTATTTCTATTAAAAAATTAAGTTATTCAATTGTTTGACACATTTCAGTTAATTGAACATGTTGCTGAACTCGGTTCGACGTGAGACAGAGAACTAGGAATGCTATACCTGATAAGATCAGAAAATTTTGGCTCTTTCCGGGAAGAACGGTCCCAAAGTAGGACCTTCGGTCCCATCATCGAACCGCCGGTCCCAACGAAATGCGACAACGGTCCCATTGTTTCGACAACGGTCCAATTGTTCCGACAACGGTCCCAATGTCCCGAGAACGGTCCCAACGTTCCGACAACGGCCCTAAGAATACGATAACGGTCCCAACCAGGCTTAATCTGGAAACCCTATTGGAAAAATCGGAAATTGTAATTTTTGTTTCAACTAAGAAACATACCGTAAAACCTTTAATAGAACGACACCCGGATCGTCCACTTTGAGCCCATATATCTCATTTTCTGTGAAAGATATCAAAAAAGTGGCTAACTA